ATTTTAGAAATCAGTGTGTTTTAAACTAAAACAGCAATGTGTTGATATTTAAAAAAAAGTTATAACAGTGACTGGAAACTAGTTAATCAAATGATACTAAGATGTTTATTGTGTTTTTTTTAAGATTATATTTGTTTCTGATTTATTCATTTGATCATTGCAAAAGTATGTTGGTGAAGATATAGTTCAAAGACAAGAGATTTATTAAAACAAAGTTTCAGAAACACATTTTTTGGTATATTTTACATGTGTTGTGAAATGGTGCTATAGAAATAAAATGAATTGAAGAGGCAAAAAAAAAACACTTCATGAAAAGTCAAACACAATGGTGAGATGAAAGAGATGACAAATAGTGTGGCAAGGGATTGCTGAGTGGGTAAATGGAAAAGTTAAACATCAAAGACATTTAACACTAAATACCAGTGGTGTCAAAAGTACATACATTTGTTACTTAAGTAGAAGTATAGATACTGCAGTTTAAAAACACTTTGGTAAAAGTTGAAGTATCAACTTGATCTCTTTACTCAAGTAAAAGGGAAAAAATGTGCTCCAAAATATATAACATATAAATGTTTGAACTGAAAGCTCAATTTGTGTTTGAAGAACACCTGCTTGCTTCTGATGATTTCCTTTAGCTAACCAATGAGTGTTTGCATTCTATGACTCGTCCAATTCCACTAGTTTTCACTAGATGTGGATGGAGCCAATGATCTGCATTGGATGGAACACATGACGGGAAATAAATATTTAAAAACATTAAACCGAAGCCAAGAGTAACGAGTAGTGTTTGTTTTAAAAATGTAAGGAATAGAAAGTACGGATACTGGTGTGTAATGTAATAAGCATAAGTCAGAGGTAAGAAGAAAAATAGTAATGGAGTAAAGTATAGATACCTAAAAAGTTTACTTAAGTACAGTAACGAAGTATCTTTACTCTGCTAAATACATCCCAATCACTCTAATGTGAATTAATCGCATGTCCCTGGTGAGCGAAGAGGACATAGGATAAGAAAACATAAGGTCATCCAGTTAGTTGGACGTTATAATTCAATACTTGGGCTACAAATAAGCTGGAAGCTGATGCCATAATTGCACCATATTAATACAAGAAGAGATCAGTCTGAGTGAAATTATCCTGATATCTGAGCTCTGTCAG